ACATACAGTTCATTGTGAACCTGTAGAGCTGCATAATGTGTACCCTGTCCTATTTTTTAAAAGCTAAGCAAGAAATGAGTGAGTATCTGATGAGAGTGATGAGAGACTCATCATGCCAGAGCTCGTCTGAGCTTATCTAAGAGTGAAACCATGAAGCAGGTCATGCCTGTGTCAAAAACAAAGAGGTCAGTGCTCAGGAAGCCATTGCTCGCACTTGCAGTTTAAAGCTGAAATTCTCATCCTGTGTTTTGATTTTCATTCCTACTAATAATAATGTTGTAAAGATGAGTTTACCTATGAGGTACTTACAGAGCAAGGATCCTGATGATGAGACTGTGACTGGATTACCAGAGAGGTACACAGCCAGGCCCATGACACCGGAGTTTGAGAACATGTGCATTGTAGCATTTGTTAGCAAATATCGAATTGTGTATGCCAAACAAATAAAGGGTGAAAATGGTTTTCTACTGCAAAACAACTTAAAACACATAAAGAAGCAAACCAGAGAGACACCTGCCATCATTCGGTTTGCTCTTTTCTCACAGCCACACCAAAGCAGCTCAGAGCTTACAACCGCCCAGTTTAACACTTATGATTTCTTTTATGCCTCTGCCTCTGTAAAACTGCCAAGTACAAGCACATTGCAGTTTACAACATTGTAAATGCAAACAGAGCAAGTTATGAAAAGCACACTGAAGCTGTTGAACAGACAATTGAGAATTTTGAACAAAACGGTCCAATGAACCATGCCTGAACTGTCTCCAACAAATGAACTGATTCAACTATACTGCCAGGTTAGAGAAACAGTTACAGAACAGTTTCTTTATTTTGTAGCAGGAACAGCAGGAATAGGCAAGAGTCACCTTATTAACTATGTTTATGTAGAGGCCATAAAAACACCACAGGAACTGCTGTGTGCAAGTGAAGAAGCTGACATTACTAACACCCACAGTGGATTTCTGACTGCTTTTAGTGGTAGTGCCAGTCATAACATTAATTGAAAGAAACTTCAGGCACTTTTAAACTGCCCAGAAGCTTAAAGCCTCCATATCACGGACTTGGAAGCAGTCTTGATGAAATCAGAGCAAGCTTTTCAATTGTACAAATTTTAATAATCAATATCAATGGAGTCAAAACCATTATTTCTCTATGTAAACTGGAGATTGCAACAGATTAAAGGGAATGATGAACCTTTTGGTAACGTCTCTGTTATGGCTGCTGGTAACTTACCAGCAATTACCTAGGAAAAGTAAAGCCGCTGTGTGTATGAGGATCGTGTGCTGGACTTTTAGGGAGATCATTTTAAGATGATCATAGCAACTGAAATCATACATCAGAAAGATGATCTTGCCTATGCTTTTAGGTATTATAACAAAGTGGAAGCGATTGGGACGACAGCAACTCAGCCACAAAGTGGTAGGCCACGTAAAATGACAGAGTGGGGTCAGAGGATGCTGAGGCGCATAGTGTGCACAGGTCACCAACTTTCTGCAGAGTCAATCACTACAAAACTCCAAACTTCATGTGGCCTTCTGATTAGCTCAAGAACAGTGCGTAGAGAGCTTCATAGAATGGGTTTCTATGGCCAAGCAGCTGCATCTAAGCCTTATATCACCAAGCGCAATGCAAAGCGTCAAATGCAGTGGTGTAAAGCACGCCGCCACTGGACTCTAGAGCAGTGGAGACGTGTTCTCTGGAGTGACGAATCACGCTTCTCTGTCTGACAATCTGATGTGGTGGTCGCCAGGAGAACGGTACTTGTCTGATTGCATTGTGCCAAGTGTAAAGTTTGGTGGAGGGGGGATTATGGTGTGGTGTTGTTTTTCAGGAGTTGGGCTCGGCCCCTTAGTTCCAGTGAAAGGAACTCTTAATGCTTCAGCATACCAAGAGATTTCGGACAATTTCATGCTCCCAACATTGTGGGAACAGTTTGGGGATGGCCCCTTCCTGTTCCAACATGACTGCACACCAGTGCACAAAGCAAGGTCCATAAAGACATGGATGAGCGAATTTGGTGTGGAAGAACTTGACTGGCCTGCACAGAGTCCTGTCCTCAACCCAGTAGAACACCTTTGGGGTGAATTAGAGTGGAGACTGCGAGCCAGGCCTTCTCATCCAACATCAGTGTCTGACCTCACAAATGCGCTTCTGGAAGAATGGTCAAAAATTCCCATAAACACACTCCTAAACCCTGTGGAAAGCCTTCCCAGAAGAGTTGAAGCTGTTATAGCTGCAAAGGGTGGGCCGACATCATATTAAACCCTATGGTATAAGAATGGGATGTCACTCAAGTTCATATGCGTGTGAAGGCAGACGAGCGAATACTTTTGGCAATATAGTGTATCTCTGTCAGAAATAATAAAAGGTTTCTGCAGATCAGTGCAGCCTACACCCAAACTCAAGTGTTGATACTTCAAGGAAACAACTCATGCAGAACTAAGGGTATCCAGCATGACACTTGATTAATCCAACTTAAATCCTTAAAAAACTAATAGAGCATTAAAGTAGAAGGCAAAGTGTTAACATTTGAAAATACAAATCCTCCTATCTGCGCTTCTCTCTCTCTCTCCCTCTGTCTCTCTGTGTTAGAGAAAGAAAAGTGAAAGAGAGAGCAGAAGAAGAACAGAATACTACCTATTCCTCAATATGTTCAATAAAGAGTTTTTATAGGGACTTTACATTTGTATTAAGTGTGTTTATGTACACTGTGTGTGACGTGTGTGTGTGGTGTTATGATGTTATTATGTTGCTCGGTGGTTGCTATGGTGTCCCAGGTTGTAACTAAGGTGTTGCTAGGCCTTTGCTGTACTATAAAATAAACTCGTACCCTCAATTTACTGCTTCTTCAAACCCACTGATACCTGAAATCGATTGCTCCCTGAACTCCAATGCTTCTTTATATGTACTGCTATCTTAAATCTAATTGTACCTTAAATCCACTGCTACCTTAAACACACTGTTATCTTAAATCCGTTGCTTCCTTAAACCTACTGCTACATTCAATTTATTGATACCTTACATACACTGCTACCTTAAACCTAATCATACCTTATATGGTCCAATGCCTTAAATACATTGCTAAATTATGGTGTGTTGAGTGTGGATGGAGTGTGTGTGGTGTGTAAAGTGTGTGTGGTGTGGAGTGTTTGTTGTGCATTGAGTGTGTGGTGTGTAGATTGTGTGTGGTGTGTAGAGTGTGTGTGATGTGGAATGTTTGTTGTGTGTTGAGTGTGTGTGTTGTGTAGAGTGTGTGTTCTGTGTAGTGTGTCAAGTGTGTGTGGTGTGTAAAATGTGTGTGCTGCGTCAAGTGTGTGTAGTGTGTAGAATGTGTGTGGTGTGTTGTGTAGAATGTGTATGTGTGTTGTGTGGAGAGTGTATGTGGTGTGTTGTGTTGTGTGTCGAGTGTGTTTGTGTGTATGGTGTGTGGTGTGTTTGTGCTGAACAGACTGAGAGTGACACAAAAGCATGGAGCTCTGTCTGGTACTGTCCCCCTGTTGCATTACACATATTCGCTACTAATAAAGAAGTGGATGATTTTAATTCAGCACACATGACCTCACGCTTTTCAAATATCACAAATATAGAAGCAGAGGATTATAAAAAAGGGCCCCCGAACAGGCCAGATGCAGAAGCAAGGAGCCCCCTTTAAAGGAGAGAAAGGTGGTCTAATGGACACACTGCAGGTTGTGGTGTGTTTGTGATGTGTGTGTTGAGTGTGTGTGTGTGCGTGTGGTTTGTGAGTGTGTGGTGTGCTGAGTTATTATTACTGTTGTCACTGTTGTTTTATTTCTGTTATAACTATTTTATTACTGTTTTATTTTTGTTTTTACGGTTTTGGTTTGTTATTACTGTTGTTCCAAACATTCTGCCATTCATTTCCAAAGGCAAAAATTTTATCTTAGAATGATCACTTTCCAAAAACTGTACATTGGATCAGTCCAAAAAGCATAAGTACACTATTCCCGTGTATCAGGAATGTTTGTGCAAAATTTTGTAGTGGTATGTCAAAAACTGTGGACTTTGAGAAGTTTATAAAATTGGAGTGTAGAATAAAAATAAGAAGAAGATTATGGAAAAAAATAAGTTGGCGTTTCCGAGCCATATTAATACAAATAGGAAGAACAATAAGTTGGCCTTTCCAAGCCAACTAAATAAAAAATAACTTTGTAGTTAATTAGCTCGATCTTACACTGAAAATATGAGAAAAACCTAATGTTTAATTGAAATAAATTTGTCTAAGAAAAAAAAGTTTTAAATAATCAGGATATGGTGGATTTGCCTACAAGAGGATTAAAATGTATTATGCCCTCACAAACAGTGAGAAGCATGGTTGGAAAATTTTGAAATTTCTCCAAGGATCATACATGAACACATTTTACCTCTTCTAGTGCCATACGAGTACTCCACCCTACCAAATTTCCCTGCTCTGTAGATCCACCAATGCCAGCTTTGTATGTGCTGGGTCAGGTGTATGAGAATTGGGAAACATACACACACACAAAATCCAAGAGTGTACGGTCTGGACTGAATTTGAGAACCAATGGGTTAATGAAAAAATCAGTGTTCACACAAGCTGTACTGTGTTCAACATTTGTACGCATTAAAATATATTTTTTAAATAATCAAGTTTTGTCATGACATTTCACTTTTCACATTCATAACTTCAGTACAATGCATTTTGTGAGTGCACTGCCAAGTAAAATATTTACAATATTTAAAATATACATTCACCCGTGAATGAAACAATTGCATCCTTTAATACACAGGTGACCTGCTTGGTCAGAAAGTAGATTTTACACACTTTAAAAAAGCAGGCTTAAAACTGTCACTAATGCACATCAGAACAGAAATGAGACGGCCAATGGGTATCGTACAAGCAAAAGTGCAAATGGTGCCTTCAGCGATGTCACTAAAATGACCTGGTATCCCCTGTACAGCACAAGTGAATGACTTAATGTGAAAGAAGCCTGCTGTTGTACTAAGCTTAGCAGCTTACTCACCTTTGTTGTGGAAGAATCTTGTTGCTCGATCAAGAAGTAACACTGGCGCTTGGCTAACTTCTCTCACAATAGCTGACATTCCAAAGGTCATCACCACAGCAGCACTGCCACACCTGAAGGACCAGCTAATCATAAACACAAGTGAGAAATCAAAGCACACAACAGACTTCTCCACTTACAGGGCAGCGTTATTTATAGTTATATTTATATCATTTTAAAATGGAATGAGAATGTAAACTAAAAAGAAAAAAGGTAATTTCATATACTGAAATAAAAATTATTGTAATTGGTATTTTAACCACTGGAATCTCATGGATTTTTAAAAACTTTATAAAGTCTTAAAATGGATTATAAAATTGCAGATTTTTTCTGGTTTTACTATTAGAAGAATTCAGTTCTAAAATTGTTCTTAAAGACAGGGCTTAAAAGAATCATTGTGTCAAACTGTCATCAAATCTTCTGAGCCAGAGCTATGCATATTAGTTTTATGTTTGCATGCGAAAGATTAACCAGTGTCATCTTTGCAGTTGAAAATTAAACCAAGACCAATATAATTTCATGTTTATTGGCTAAGCTGATAAAAAAGCAATGTTAGCAATGAGCTTTTTCTGTTCAGGTTAAGTTTCTGACTTCTGTGTGCTGACTGTGTGGCTCCTGTTGGTTTCACCAGCACTTACACCTGCTTATATTGTAAATATTTAGCAGCTACTAAGCTCAACATAAAAACAAGTTTTTGTGGTGCAACCTGTTTTGCCTTTAATGCCTAAACCTGAACTTAGTAAACGTTTATGTTATAATTAGCCTACTGATGTGCAGCTAGGGCAAACAGGCAGTGCATGGCTTAATAAGGTTTGTGCTTATTTTGTGTTTAGATGTAATTATTTCCAATTCACCCATTCTTGAGAATCAATTAACTTGAATATTTTAAAGGAGTTGTTCAAGAAGAAAGCTTTGTTCACAAATTGCAAGTTAATGCTATCATGTGCAAGTCCATTATGTGGCGACTTCCCAGCAACATTCCTGCAATATTATGATCTATTATCTGAAAGGCTAAATATCATTACTTTGGTGTCGGCAGAGAATAAGATGCAGGAAACGTTGTGCTTTAAAGACAAATGCTCTTTAATTGAACAGGTAGCAAGGGAGAATTGCCGCTCAGTGCTGCTGAAATGGCTAAGATAACAGGCAGGTCTTCTAGCCATGCATTATCACCTGAAAGTAGGCACTAACAGTGCACCAACTACCCAACTACCCAGCACAGAATGACACAAATAGACTAATAACAACTTATTTACATATTAATGTGTCTCCTGCTGTAAACACAGTGCTTCCCAAAACATACACCTCAAAACATACCACTTGAACCACTTGATAAAGCCCTTATAGCAAAGCTGTAACACTTTTCTTCCATGTCATTATTCAAATAAATAGCCTAACTTCTTTTTTCAGGTTACAGTCATCTGCAAAAGTTTGGGCACCCCTGTTCAAATTACATTTTTGTTGATTTTTTATGTGAAAGTAAGCAGAATTTCTGCACATTGAATGTAGAATTAATTCAAAAACTCAAATACATAGAAGTTGTCCACGAAAACTAAAAATGTTAGACTTACGCTGATTGTCTGTAGAGAATGTATTAACATATTTTCACTTAGAAAATCAATAAAACGTGAACACATTTGTGTCACACTTCCGGGTTCTCCTCCCTTGTCTAATGCTCTCCAGGACTCCAATTCCCATAATCCCAATCCTGATGATGTCACTCCGTCCACCAATCGCAAACAGCTTCCTCGTTCTCAGTCACCTGAGTACTAATGCTTTACACCTGTGTTTTAGGCTTTATATAGTTCCTGGTTTGTTCTCCTCACTGCGAGGTATTGCCCTTGGACTACTGAGCGTTTCTTCGACTGTTTTTCTAATCTTGTGTATCAGACCCTTTGCCTGTTTCTGGATATTGCGTTTTTGTGTTTGCCCTTTTGCTCTGGTTGTTTGTGCATTTTTGTGTCCTCTGGTTTTCGACTTTGGCAAGGCTTTTTGGATTCCGATTTTTGGATTTGCCCTTATACTGTCTCTCATTAAACCATTTCCTTTTTAAGATCCGCGAGCGTCTTTCTGTGTTTGTGCAGCATTACAATTTGAAAGCAGGAACAGGATATGTTCACCAAAAAGAAGATTAAAAACAAGATTTCAGTCCCTGCAGGTAATGTATTTGCCACAAGGTTTATACCACAAACTAGCTGTAGAAAGGTATTTTCCTTCTCCGGCAGGGCAATCATACACTAGACCTGAAGAACTACATATTTATCTTTATTTTCTCATTTTTTCCCTGTTATATCTGTAAGAAATAACTTCCTGGACATGTAAAACATCCTGTTTTATAAAGTGGAATAATTTTTCCATACAATCCTAAAAATGAAAATGCCAAAAAGGTTATTTGGAGTGATGCTACCAAACAGAATGTGTCGCACTGCGCTAAAATGAGGCGAGAGACGACAATATATACATATAACTGACACATCAGACCACTGAGGCTCTGATCCTCTCTCTGCTCTCTCACAGACCACTGCAGTCGTGTCTTGTTCTTGTAATCAGCTTCATACTCTCATGCTCATATAAGGAACTCTGGGTCTAAAAGGAAATTCTCTATGAGAAAAATGAGTGGAGTTTTCGAAAATTGCCTCTTTCACATCCTGTGATAATCAAAAATGTTCCAAAGCTGATACATTTTGTCATATGAATATTCTTCTCTCGAATATCACTGGATCCTTTGAATTACGAGGTCATTAAAAAGCTGAAGTATGAACATTGCTACATGTAAGCTAATGCTACTGTGCACTGAACTGACATCAGACTGGCAGCCTCTTTAAAAACTGTGCAAACCAGCATGCTTTGTCAGTGTCGTAGCATATTTCCATGTACAGACTGAGGGCAGATGAAAAAAAGTCAGAACAAAGGACGCAGGTTTCCCTGTAGTTCTCTGTTCGTCATCTGATACTGAAACATGATAGATGTGTTTCAGTGAGTATTAGATAAAGGTAGCACCACAGCACTGTTGCTTGCCTTACTTTTGTGTAGCTTAGTGACATCAAATTGATGCACAGTAGCTTTAACTTGCATGTAGCAATTTTATTACGACTCTTTAATGACCTCGTAATTCAGAGGATCCATTGATATTTGAAATGTACATAGGACATAACGGGTCCTGAACATTTTTGTTTACCACAGGGTGCGATAGAGGCAATTTTTCAAAAAACACATTCGTTCTGGCAATAGAGAAATCAAGCTTAGACTTAATAGGGGCATAACGTGGACTACAGAATGACACATGACTTCAGTGCTCTATTCTGAGAGAATTTTATGCAAATTAACTGAGCCACTACCAATCAGATTGTGAATATGTGACACTGTAACAGATTGTATTATGGCCACAGTCACGCAATGAGAACCCACATTGAAATATAACAAATGATAAAAAGCTATTTTAGGTAGATGATTCTTAAAAGTTTTAAAACAGTTTGGGCTGCTTTGGGGTTCAGAACTGACCTCTATCTCTACACTTTCACTCTTTGAATCTCAACCTGAATGTGTTTTTGTGATGAAGTGGCCAGCTGTCGTGGAGGGAAGTGATACAGCTTGCTGTAATGAAAATACTACGTTAACGTAGACAGTGCAGCTACTGCAGATTTAAAAATATAAAATGTAAATAGAAAATACAAACTCCACTCTAAAACAAGCACGCATTAGTCTTTGCTATGCTCAATTTATCACTTAAATGAACGTCCTCTTTTATTACCTGCCCCCTGCTTAGAAGTACCAAAGGTCAGAAGCAAAAGAAAAAAAATCATTAATAGAATATAGAATATTTTATTTACAATCCCATGTTCAAGAACATTTTAATGCTTTGCAAAATGTGAATAAAAATGGAATACGATGATGTGCAAATCATTTGAACCCATAATTAATTGAGTACAAAGGAAACATATCAAACATTAAAACTGAGAAATTGTATTTTTTTTGAAAAATATATGACTGTTTTGAATTTGATGCAAGAAACATGTTTCAAAAAAAGTTGGGACTGGAGCTTGTTTACCACTGTGCTGGATCATATCTTATTTTAACAACACTCATAAGCGTTTGGGAACTGAACAGACCAATGTCTGTAGTTGTGAAAGGGAAATGTGTTCCCATTCTTGCTTGATATAGGATTTCAGCTGCTCAACAGTTTGGTGTCTCCTTTTGTCGTATTTTTCATTTCACGTGTGTTTTATTTAGTAATATTTTCAGTGGGTGACTGGTCTGGACTGCAGGCAGGCCAGTTTAGCATCAGGACTCTTTCACTGCAGAGCCATGCTGTTATAATACGTGTAGAATGTGGTTTGGCATTGTCTTGCTAATATAAGCAAGGCCTTCCCTAAAAAAAGAGGTCATCTGAATGGCAGCATATGTTACTCCAAAACCTGTATATATCATTCAGCATTAATAGAGCCTTCACAGATGTGCAAGTTATCATGCCATGTTCACTAATGTACCCCATACCATCACTGATGCTGGCTTTTGAACTGTGCGCTGATAACAAGCTGGATGGTCCGTCTCCTCTTTAGCCTGGAGGACGTGACATCCATGATTTCAAAAAAAGAAATTCAAATTTTGATTCATTGGACCACAGGACACTTTTCCATTTAGATTCAGCCCCTCTTAAAAGCGGACAGAAGGTGGAGGCGTTTCTGGATCCTGTTTATATATATTTTCTTCTCTGCATGGTAGAGTTTCAACTTGCATTTGTAGATGCAGAGGCAAACCGTATTTACAGACAATAGTGTCTGAAAATGTTCCCAAGCCCATGCACTGATTTCCACTACAGAATTGTGGCTGTTTTTAATGCAGTGCCACCTAAGGGGCCCGAAGATCACGTCAAGCTAATAATGGTTTTCAGCCTTGTCCCATGCATACATAGACTGGTCATTCTACAGAAATGTCCGCCTTCTTATCTATCCATAGGAGTCACTGGTGTTACACATAAGAAAGGTAACACCACAGACAGCAACATCAGTGACATTTTACATGAAAAATGCATTTTACCAAATATAGGGACCACAACTTTCATTATTGTATTGTATAATATTTATTTGTCATTTGTTTTCTTTATGTTATTTAAATCATATATTTCATAGTCATGCATAGATTATTGCAGTTACAATTGCAGAAAAACCTGTTTTTTACCTCAAAATATGGCACTGACCCTTTACACATGACTGTGAGGACGAGCACTTCTGTGGTGCTTAGAATTGTATATAATTGATTTAAAAACCAATATTGCTAAATTGATGGCTCAAGAAGGTGTAATATATGAAACTGTAACATATCTGTAAACGCTAGGGACACAAAAAATGGATGTTTCTATAGAATGACCGAGATTCATCTTTACTCCTGAAAAGCTCAGCCTCTCTAGGATGCTCTTTTTATACCCAGTCATGTAAAATGACCTGTTGCCAATTAACCTAATTAGTTGTGGGATGTTCCACCAGGTGTTTTTTAGCCCACCCCCTTATTTACATGAAATGGTTCAGTCCTGCTCCCAAACAGGTGCGAACAGTGCTTACTAGCAGTGAATTGAGAGAGAAGAGTGCCAGTAGAGCATCATGTCTCATCTTCCTAAAGAAAAACCTGGCTTCCAAAAACAAAAAGAAATAAAAGAAAGACAGGAGAGAAAAAAGAATGGCAGTATGTCTCTGAGTGGTGGAAATTAACCATACATCTTAGTCCATGCAGTGAATTAGGTTACTTTTGCTCCCCTAAAATTAGTTTCTTAGTATCTTCACAGAAGAGTCTTTACATTTCACTCCTCTTTTAGCTAACGATTAATCAATGCAGGCAAACTTTCAGGGAGCTATTGTTTCCCCATCCCCATACACCTGCCAATGAACCAGCCCTGTCTCCCCATCTCCGTACCCCTACCACTGAACCAGTCTTGTCTAACCATCCCCGAACACCTACCAATGAACCAGCCCAGTCGCAACCAGCGCAGTGTTAATAAATCCTGTTCCTGGCAACCCATAAGACTGCACAGTTTCAATATTCCTTAACTCGACATGCACGATCCAGGTCATCAACTGATTATAGGGTCCTTTACTGGCTGCATCAGGTGTGTTGGGCAGAGAGTAGTTGAAACTGTGCAGTGCTGTGGGTCATCAGGATCAGAATTAAGAAATGCTGCTTTAAAGATCTAATGACAGGTTTTTAAGGAATAGTCTTTCTATGGCTTTATTCCGAAGAACCCTTTTGGTGCACTTTTTTTTTTAACAGCTTAGTGAGAGATTATTATGTTAATCTTTCGAGAGATGGTTTTGCTTTGAAGAAAAAAATAAAAAGGAAGAAATGGAAGAATGGAAGAAATGACACTTGGAATTGCAGTGTTTAAAAGGATTTTCTTTGTAGTTTTTTTAGAAGTTCTGCATAATTTGGTAATTGAAATATAAACAGTCATTCAAAGGGGTTTGATGCAAAATGATCTATTTTAGAAAAACTTACTGACTCAGATTTCTTTACAGTGGTTGTTGCAAATATAGACATTTTATTCACTACCTAAAACAACCAGTAAACGAACATGTGATTTCTGAGTTTTCGAATGAAATGTTGATAATGGTAAAATAGCGATAAATGTGAAAAAAATTAAATTTCTTTGGGAACTATTTTGCTTTACAACACCCCATATGTAC